GTCTCCTGACAAACATCAACCCTCATGTAAATGGACATAACGCCTACTGCCTGGCAGTTCATTAAATAACACCCATGATAATTTTTTTGGGGGGGCAGCTGGCTGGTACTGTCTCCTGACAAACATCAACCCTCATGTAAATGGACATAACGCCTACTGCCTGGCAGTTCAGTAAATAACACCCATGATAATTTTTTGGGGGGGGCAGCTGGCTGGTAAAGGGATCCAACCATCATAATTTTATTATACATTTGATATGTTTCTAACATGAGAAAAGCTAAGGCTTTAAAAACAATGTCAGGGTTAGTATTAAATGCTGACTATTAGGAGGCTACTGATCAGTTCTTAACAGGAAATGACCAACTTCCAATCTCTTCCTATTTCATCATTTTCAAGGCATCCAAACCATAACACCACAGACCAACTTCCTATAATAGGAAAATTTTACATAGGTGTCCTCAAAATGCTTCAGGCTGTATCATACAGATGGAGAGCATTTACTTGTGTCCTTTATGACACCACTTTTCAATGAGGCAAAACGTGTTTTCACAATCACCTGAATTTTACATGTGAGTGGATTAATCGGCATTAAAAGAACAACTTAATTCCAAATATAAAACTTGTCACCTATTATGATATTTATGGAATTGACACAGGGTGCATTCTAGAGACACTGCCGAGTTACCTACAGCATGTTCTTGAAGCTGCTCCGGAAGCTCTTTCATTTCTCCCTCGACTAGCTCTCTACTGTCAGACAGTGACTCTGGGAGATTATCAGCATCATCATCTTCTACACAATCTGCAACGCTTCCATTATCAATTTCTGCTTCATCCAACACACTGATATCCATCATGTCAATGTCCTGCAAGTTCTCCAAACTGGTTTCAACATCCTCCTGTGAACAAACAAATTAGAACCGTCACGTGACTGCCATTGGTCCACCCACCAAGCTGATGAGCTGACAAAGCTGCACATACCTGTCCATCCCCAGAATTTTCCTCCAGACCGTTATCTTCTATACCCTCTTCCTCTGGTTTACGCCCTGAAGAGATAATCATTTACAACACAAGATCAATGACTGCATTTTCCAGAAGCAATAACTGTCATTTTTATAGGCTTTGAGCACTACGTAAGTGGATACCTTAAACAACGTGGCACCTCCCAACTTAGGAACACTGCGCAAACCAAGAAGGTAAGTCCATTCTGGACAAGGCAGCCTCCAACCCCACACACCCTCAAGCAGAAGAGCTTCTATTCTTATCAACTGGCTATGGAAGCAGAAGACACTGGAAATGGGTTCTTAGCAAGGTCAAGGCAGACCAGACCTGTCCTAAGGCCTGCACTTCCAGTCAAGTGGCTTTGCTTGTGGGGAGAAAAGCATATGATACAAATGTGCAGCTTTTTATTAAAGGAACACAGAGCATGTTTTCCCATAGAAACAATGATATAAAGCAAACTGAAAATAAAAGCCAGTCATAATTTTAGCACCTGGAGTTAGCCCTTATGTTATATATTGGAGCACAGCTGTCCTCCCGTATTTTGCTATGTATATATGTACTTTGCTTACAAACATGGTACTGTACTATTCCACAATCTTTTCACTTAATACATTGTGAACTTCTTTCCATATTCTTTAGTAGTAGTATATGAATACACCAGCATTGACCTAATTAACGGATATAGTTGGAAATTTAAGAGAATGCCTATAAAGATGAACATCCTGATAACTCTTTTTTGGACACAAGTAGTTATCATCTTAGGACATATTTCTAGAAATGGCATCCCCAGAACAAAGAGTATGCACATGTTTAAGTTTAAAAAAGAAAAAAACTCCCACATACTATCAAGATAGCCCAGAGGAAGGTTGTTCCAATTTACACAGCTCCATCAACAGTGAATAAGAGTGCCAGTCTTTCTGTATCCTTGTTAAAAGCGGCTATTTTTCTTTATCTTTGACAGTGTTCTAGGCAAACTGAAGGAATATTTGTTTTAACCCAAATTTATCTGATTACTGCTTAGGTTGAATTTTTGTTGTTGATCATCTGTACTTTTGTAACATTTATATGCTTTCCCCCTTTAAAAACTTCTGCTCCGTTTCCCCTCATTTAAAATTTTTAGGGCCGGCCCGGTGGCGCACTGGAGAGTGCGCCACCTGAGAGCGCAGATATATGCTTTCCCCCTTTAAAAACTTCTGCTCCGTTTCCCCTCATTTAAAATTTTTAGGGCCAGCCCGGTGGCGCACTGGAGAGTGCGCCACCTGAGAGCGCGGAGGCGCTCCCACCGAGGGTTCGGATCCCATGTGGAGACCGGTTCCTGCTCACTGGCTGAGCGCGGTGCGGGCGCAACACTGAGGGTTGCGATCCCATTGCCGGTCCCCGGTGCGGGCGCGACACCGAGGCTTGCGATCCCGTTACCCGTCAGTAAAAAAAAAAAAAAGACAAAAAGGAAAAAAAAATTTTTTTTTATATTATATATACCATGCATATTTCCTCCCAGTTCTTCACCACTCTTAATTTTGTTCATGGGTTTTAGGTAAATTTCACTTTCATATAGCCAAAGCTATTAATTAGTTTTTATGAGGAAATGGGTTTTACCGTCATATTTAGAAGATCTTCTCCATACTAAGACCATATAATATTCACTTGTATTTAGTTCTTTTGTGTTGAGTGAGATAATTTTTCAAACAGTTCTCCCATTTTGAAACTGATTTCTCAACGCCATTTACTAAACAATCTTTTGCCCCCACTGACTTGAAATGCTACCCTACTCAATATTATATTCCTATATATGTCCGTGACTATTTAATGTTTCTATTCTCTTCCACTGATCTGTTTTTCTTGTTCTAGTTTTAGTTATGTTGCATTATAATATTTTTCTAAATATAAAATACTGAGATTAACTAAAAGAAAAAGAAACTAAAGGGAATTGGACAGAATGGCTTCACATCAGGTTATCCTTCAAAAGGTTAACTAATTATTTACTTATTTTATAACATTCACAATCTATTCTGGAGCCAACAGTTCATACTGGGCAGGCATGCTGGCACTTTCATCCAAAAAGCCGTATTTACATGGTCATCTGCCTTTTTTTTTTTTTTAAAGAAATGATAAAATGAGTAGAAAATAGAAAAATATGAATGATGATACTAAAAATAACAGAAGTGAAGCAAAAATAAAAATCATTAAGCACGGCAAAAATGAAATTTTTGGTGTCGACAGGAGGCTTACTAAACTTAAACTAAACTGTTTGACTATTTTCAAAATGTGAAGAATAAAATCACATGTATGAAATACATAAAATGTACTATGGAAGACCATGTCTCAAAAGCAAGGTGTACTATAGTTATGTATTTCAGAGCTACTGCCAAAGAGGTAGCCTCCTAAAACTCCTTTATCAGAAGGTGCTCAGCTTCTTGAAGGACATGGGAAGGATGTTGATCAGCCACATAACCTCAGGAAAACCACTTCCTGCTAAGCCTTTTCCAATGTGAAGATCAATGTCTTAAGGCTATTAGGTGCTGTTTCAAATAATATGAGAAGTAGACATTAATTTTTCTATATTAATAACTAATAACTATAAAATGTGTTATATTTGGGGCAAAAGACAAATATCCCATTTATAAAACATTTGAGGCTTTTAAAAAAAAAACCCCAAGGATAAGAATTTCTTTATAACATGTAAATGTGTGTTACCCGATTTTTCTATATTCTAATTCCATTCATGTTTTCAGAATTATATTATTCAGGAACATAGGGAACCATCATACTAATACTAGAATTCCCATTTTATTATTTCTTTTTTTTTTTTTTGTCTTTTTTGAGACCGGCCGCACCATGCTCAGCCAGTGAGCGGTGACCGGCTATCCACTGTGAGCACACCAGTCATCCCTTTATAGGATCCGAACCCGCGGCGGGAGCGCTCCTGCGCTCCCAGCGCTGCACTCTCCCGAGTGCGCCATGGGCTCGGCCCCCATTTTATTATTTCTTTGGCAAAATGTATCTTTTTTTTTGGCATCTGGCCAGTAAGGGGATCTGAACCCTTGACCTTGGTGTTACTAGCACCATGCTCTAAC